AGCGGGGACCGGTAGAAGTTGTTGATAAGCGTAAGAGGCCTTCAACCAGTAGTAGACATTATAATCAAGGAAGCCCGTAATCATCTGAAGCAGACCTGGTATAGAAGTAGCATGCGCTTGAGACGAAGCTCCTATATCCATAGCGGTACTTACCAGTCGATCCGCCATTTTGTCGTAGGTCCGATTGTGATGTCCCTTGCTAGAGACATTGATATCTTTAGCGATAGTGCGTGATTATCGAAGTAATTGCGCCCAGTGTAGCTTGAGTAGAGGGTGTCGTGTTTGGATTTGCGGAAACAAAAGCGCACTGTCCTTAATGACATGCAGGACTGATAAGTAATTTGGCTTTGCTTGCCGAAGACCGTGGACGAGCCCACAGTATATAATTGGTATCAAATGAGCCATCTATCATTCTCGATACCCACAAAACTCGTGCGGCGTGCGTCGGAACGTGAATTAGACAATACTAGCTCCAGCTCCGACTGAAATTGAATTTCGGCAAGATCCTTTATCGAAAAGATGAGGCATAGCACCTTTGGGCACCATTCGATAGGCCCACCTTGTAATAGAGGAGGTTCGTCGTGGCAGATGAGAGTATCAGCTAATGCCGACTGTACCTGTGCAAATAGTCGCCTGTCTTCCCCCATGACAGGCTGGTAGGTTGACACATGAATCCTTCGAATAGACCGGCAAAAGATAGTCATGTCAATAGCTGTGTGCGTCTCCTGTGATAAGGATGAGTCTATGATGAGGCTGAGGCGACTGACCCAGATGGCATGAATTGTCGTTGATTTGACAAAACCCCACAGTTCTCTAGCATTCGGAAAGACCGTAGCCTGAGCTTTCGATAAATCGGCGCTTTTGTCCATAGATTGGATGATAACATCCCATGTACTGAGCGAAAACCCTGGCACGTCCCGTTCATACACCCATACATGCAAGGCATCCTCTAAGAAAGTATTAATCTCTCTCCACCAATCAAGTAGAAACTCCCCGTGTTGACGCGCGCTAGGGCATGTTTAAAATATATGGCTGCTTTGGTAGTGGATCTTTATGCCGCAGTGGTTACGAATGGCCCGACTTTATATAATCGTCTTGCAACGCAATTGTTCAGACCTCATCGAGGATATGCACAAACGTACTTAAATGACATCTTTGTCCATATTCGTGCTATGAGCGGTCGGTCAGATGTGAACAATTACATAGAACATCACGAGCTGTGCTCGAGTGCATGCGCGCATATAAGTTGTATGCCAACGCATCTAAGTGCATCTTTGTGCAGAAGAGATTCCCTTTTTAGTGTGCTTCGTTGGCAAGCGAGGCTTTGAAGAGGATCCCGCTAAGGTAAAGGCCATAGTGAATTGACCGGTTCCGAAGAATCAAAAGGACCTTCGATAATGGCTTTGCCTTGCCAACTATATACACAAGTATAGTGCAAATTACGCAGATATGGCTCGTCCATTATTTAATCTTACCAAAAAGGATGTCAAGTGGTGCTGGACTATTACTAAGCATGATGCCTTTGAAATTGTTACATAGAGTATCTTCCATGCGCTAATCTTGGCTTTGCCCGCTTTCACACGGCCTTACAGTGTCGTATGTGACGTATCTGACTTCGCCACAGGCAGTGCCACGTTACAAATATATGCCAAGGGACAGAAACGCGTCATTCCCTTTGAGTCTCCACAGCCCAAAGCTGCTGGAAGAACGATCCCAGTCATGACAAAGAGCTAATAACAATGAAGTACGCTCTCTTCATATTCGTAGTCCATCTTCTATGATATAAGCTTTTTGTGATCTCCTTCGATCATGCGTCATCACGCACTGCGACCCAGTCGCCTCATCTCTTCAGAGAATGGCACGTTGGCTCTCATTCTTTGCCACATATAACTTCGAGGTGATGTACAAGCCAATAAAGTAGAATACTTTGATAGATTCGTTGTGTGGTATTATAGTTAGTCAGATCTGTGGCAATACAGGCTTAACGTAACAACACAACAATAGCTGATCTAGTCGGCGTAGTTAGGCTTGTACATCGGGTCAATCCCCTTCTATGTTCGCCCCTCCGAATTCAGCTGTGGCTCTCACCTAGATGAGTACCTCCAACCACTCACTCTCCTTTCCAGAAGACTGCCTGAGCTCAGCAGCTTCCTGTGGTCCAATTATGTGACCCCGTACAAATGGGTAGACGTCGGCGCTTTTACGCTTTTACACGTCACCGTGCGCAGTATACATCCGACTGGAAAGATAATAGTGTCCTTGGCTAAACCCCACCGGATCGTCATCGACAAGTCGTTGGACAATACCGTCTATTATTTTACTGGCTTGCCGTGCGACGAGACTTCAAAGCGGTGCCGTATACCGGGTCACTGGCTCGCCGTTCGACGAGACTTAAAGCGGTACCGTATACTGAGTTACCAGCTCGCCGTGCGACGAGACTGATCCTTTTTTCGCTGGAAGCGAGTAATACACCCCGGACTGACATAACTCTTGGCGCTTCCAATCGAGACCTATACAAGCTATGCTCCTTGAGGTTCGACAGCAGGCATAATCCAGCCCACGCAGGGACTTACCTCAAAAGTGCACGCGTGTCTTGGACTTAAAAAAATACTGCTCTGTTTTGGTTTCCTCCTATTCTCTCTCTGATTTCAAAAGGACTTAAAAGTGGTTCTCCTCTATCCCCCGTCGTGCTATACTAATATCTAGTCGGATGGACTGGTCATCATCTTGCTTTCTCATGGGGTCTTTCCATGTCGAGTCTTTCCTCGTCGAGGCTTGGCTCGTCATATATTGGCTTGTCGAGTCTTCCCTCGTCATATCCTGACTTGTCAAATCCTATTTCGTCGAGTCTTGGCATTTCGAGTTTTCCTTCGTCGAGTCTCGTACCGTCGAGTCTTGTCGAGTCTTTACTCGTCGAGTATTGGCTCGTCGAGTCTTGCTTTGCCGACATCGATGTCCTCCGGCTTCTCTCGTCGGCTTCGCCACTCCTAAATAACATAGTCGAAAGTAGGGAATACCACGTCCGGAAACTCCCTACACCACATACACAACATGTGTGGTTTATACAACATGTGTAGTTTACACAACATGTGTAAGTTTCACATTATGTGTGGTTTACACAACATGTGAGGTTTACACAAAAGACGGAGTCCCATTAAGATGATATTAGAATAGCATATCAGTTGTTAGGGGCAGACTTGTGTCAGCCACCGAATCACGCGATCCTTTATTGAGATATCAATCAAACATTAGTGTCTAGATTGAGTAAGTTCATGTGAAGTGTTTTTTTCAATAAAAAGAAATAATGTATTATTTCCATTCTGATCTGTGAAGACACTTGTCTCACTGAGGCGTGTTGTGATCGTAGGAGAGTCTAGGAAACGCCTTGTCAAGGTAGCTACTCTTAGGCGCTCTGTAATGTAATCCTCTGAATCGTTTGGCCCCCTGGTAAAGGCCGTTAGTTCTTTGAGCTTGTTGACTCTCTGAGTCGAGTTCCTTGAACTAAAGTTCCTCGGAGAGCATAAAAGTCTTCCTCTGGCTTTAATTGCGGTGTACCTATGATACAGGCATAGCCATCGTATGAATGTTATGACTATCGTCGAACGTGCTTGAACTACGAGTGGTGTGCCTGGCTTTATCCGACGGGCCTTTGGTCTAACGATGGATGCAGAATTGGCTGACCTGTTTAATTGTAGCACCATGCGATCGTGTTTTCGATTGTAGGTGTTTCGTTGTCATGTAATTGTGGTAAAACTGCACTTGCAAATTGAGGTCAGTGGCTCATGCCTGGATACACCATTTTGCTTGACGATAAGCGTTTGCTGTCCAAAACAAAATGACAATGATATTGTTTGCCGCACGACTTTGCAGCCAATATGACCAGCTTTCTTTGCAGTTGCTCGAAATCCAGAGATGCGCACGCGGCCCTCTTCATATCGATAGTGCCATCACAACTACTACTTACTGCTTGCTGACTTCGAAGTCCCCGAATTGCACATAGCATAACGATGCTTATGTGCAGAAAAGCCCAATGTCGATAACATTATTGCTGATCTAGATATCATGCGCTTGCGGGTGTACGTGCATGTGTGTGATATGACGTCTTCAATGCTGTGCCAGCTGTCTCAATCATCTGTTTATGATCATCGCTCGAAAATATCGCTACCATCCGGTGTAGATATCTTTGCCCATATCTTACCTTCAGCACATCCCGCCGTCATGTACGGACGAATTGTTTGATCCCTAGGACTGTACTGCAGCATTTGTGCGACCGCTAGCATTGAACGAAGTGTACGATCACTAGCTATGTAGTGATTGTGCGATCTTTACCACAGAACGTTTTGTACGGTCGCTCCGCCTGCGTCAAGTCGTGTTCAACTACCGCGTCACAACGCGTCCCTACTTCTGCTACTACTTCACAAGTTGAGCCCCCGCTTCATCCCCGCGAGCGTCGCACTAGCGGTGGAACCCATTGGCTTCAACGTGACTCCAAACCAGCCGCACAGCTCGAACTCGTCTCCGTGGCGTCCCTCCCTCTGATTTCGCTATCGTCTGCAATACAAACAACAAGTGACTCACTCGTCCATCGATCGCCCACCGTCGTCAATCGCACCCGACTCCGAGCCATCCCCCGCCCTCACCTTCATCGTCGTCCTCGTCGTCCTCGTCCTCGTCCTCGTCAGCACTGTCATTGTCTTCATCACTGTCACCATCCAACGTGTGCCAGCAGCTCTTCTTCCGCCTCCCCCCCCGTCTCTCTCCATGCTCCCCCTTCGCTCTTCCGCCCCGCGTGGCTGGACCGACACTCGTCCTCCATTGCGGCCCCGCCACTGGTCTTCCGTGCCCCGCCCAGACCCACTTCCCGCTGTCCGCCCCTGGCGCTGAGCGTCGCGCAGCACGAGCCACCGAAGGAGAAGGCCGGCGTGAAGCTGCTCGTGGGGGCCGCCGTCTGCCTCGCGTACGAGTTCGCGCTCGGCCACTACCTCGAGTTCATCAAGATCATGAAGCAGACGCAGCCGCAGCTCTCGTACGTGCAGTTGACGCAGGAGATCATGCACGCCAAGGGCCTCGTGGGGGTCTGGGACGGCTTCCTCCCGTGGGGCGCGCTGCAGGGCGTGGCCAAAGGTGCGGTCTTTGCCTGGGGCCACTCGATCGCGCGCACGGGGCTGAGCCCGTTCATCCAGAGGGGCGCCGTGAGCCGAGACGCGTCGGAAGTGATTGCCGGCGGCATTGGGGGCGGCTTCCAGGGCTTTGTCCTGAGTCCGACGCTGCTGCTCAAGACGCGCGTGATGACGGACCCGATCTTCCGCGAGCACATGACGCCGCTCGAGACCGTGTCGCGCTCCATGCGCATTGGCGTCAAGGTCATCCAGCAAGAGGGCGGGATGGCGCTCATGAAGGGGTCGGGCATGTTCTCGCTCAAGCGCGTGGCCGACTGGTCCACGCGCTTCTACTTCTCCGTGCAGGCGGAGAACCTCTTGTACAAGCGCAAGAACCCCGACCATGTGCTGCAAACGAGCGAGCAGGTGATCTCGTCGCTCCTGGGGGAGTCGTCAGTGCGGCCGTGACGCTGCCCATGGACGTGCTGGTCGCGCAGATCCAACAGGCGTCGAAAGCCGGGGAAAAGGTGTCTGCTCTCGAGCTCTTTCGACAGCAGTACCGGGCTGGGGGGCTCAACAAGGTGCTGGCGTTCGGGACGACGGGCTTCGTCGCGCGCTTTGTCCACGCGAGCTTCACGACCATGATCATGAAGACAGCAACGAGTGTGGTGTACGACATGGTCGAGCGTCGCCACTAGAAGAACGCTAGCAACAAAGTCGACGGACGGATAGACAATGGGCGCGGCTGTACTTTGTCAAAACTGCACGAACGCGTCAGAGCGCATCCCGTGGTGGTGCTAGAGCTGCATAGAGGCGCGCAGAGAGGAGCTCTGGGACAAGAGAGACGCTGCTATATCACGTCTGGAGCTGTAGCTGGAGGTGCAGGCGCAAATGCACGTGGAAGGAACTGTGGGTAGTGGCGAAGGAGATAGGTCTCGGCCTTTTGCATCTGCTCGTAGTCGTCGTCGCGTTCGTGGTCGTATCTGTAACCAAAGGTGCACGAACGAACGAGACTGCGTCAACACCATCGACGTGTGCCGTCCCCTTTGTCATCGTCAAGTACGGCTCTCACCCCATCAAGTGACAAAGACCGTGTGCCACCAGCACAGGCAGTCGGTCTGCCAGCGTCGTGACCTCCTGGAGCTGCGCGTCGCTGCACTGGCGTGTGACGTACGCCGGACTGATGTAAATGTCGCCGAGATAGCGTTCGTCTGGGCTCTGGACGCGCGGGAATCGTCCAGGAGTTCGAATCTGAGCCACAGGAAAATGCACGTGAGAACAACGTCCGCCTGTACCTACCGACACGAGTGAGTCCTTAGTGGCACTTGGCGCCGTACTTTGTGGAATGGGAAGGACAGAATGTCAGTTGGGTTGTCCTGCTGGCGAAACTTGCGATTGAGCTTCTGGACGTGATTGTCCGTCGTGAGCAGAACGCCGACGTCCCTATCATCAATGGCAGCATAGGGAGCGACCGAGTTAGTAAAAGGGGACACGCGATCAGTTTCGTGTAGGAAAGGTAGTAGAAAGAGTAGTAGTAGTACTAGTACTGGTGCCGCCACTCAGCCTCGTCGTACCAGGGCCCTCCAGGACAATCGAGACAGCGCACCATCGCCTGCACTTGTGCGTGCAGCTTGAGGAGTGCCCGTGGCGACAGTGCGGCACTCGTGCCAGCGAGTGCCTTTGCGACTTGGACCATTGCTGTGATTCTCAAAAGTGGGTTCGGATCGATACTTTAGTAGAGTCAATTGCAAACTACCGCTCACTTGGAGTTGAGGACTTAGAACACTTGTCGCCGTCGAGGTCGCTCACCTCAAGGACCAATTGACGCGCAACGTCAGTAAAAACACTGCGCGGCATCAACAGTGTAACTACCGCTCCAGTTTCCTTGTCTGCTATAGCGAAGGTGTTACAGGGCTGCCACGTAGCAGATCAATGTACTGGAAACGGATGATGTTCTAGCTCTGCGTGCTGATCAGCATGTCGTCTGGCAGAAGCAAGACCTGCAAGAGAATAGCTGCAGTGGCACGGCCACGACTTGTCGAGGTGAGCACCATACAACGTGTTTGTCATTGAAGCTTCGTGTACCACTACCAAAGCGCCTATAGGTCATGGAGTATCGTAAGTCTCAAGAACATGCTGCAATATTGTTCAGCATTCATCAGAAGAAACTTGCGTGCAGCAGGAGACGTCACAAGAGCAGAACTATTTTTGTGAGTGCCCTGCGCTTTATTCGGTTCCGTGTACAAGAAGATTCCTGGCTTCCGTTGGCGTAGAATGAAGCTGCTGTGAGCAGCTCTACCTAGCGACAATTATATTGCCGAAAGTGTGAACCTGCTGTCTTTAGTCATGTATCGCTTCGTTCTTCCGAAAGTGAGCAGAAACGCTCGGACCAAGCAAGAATGCCGAGACCCTTTCTCGCTTATACAGCTCGAACCTGTTTGCCAGATACTCCATGACCATACGGATTCTCTTTCCATTTGCTAGAAGGAGGAACGTACTAGAAGATGCCAGGTACGATGACGCGTCTGACGCACACTTAGTGCGGTCTCGTTGGCTATGATTGACCGGTTCCACCCAACTGTTCTTGTCGCCACTCTTTAGTATCCACTATCCACGGCAGCTATCATCTGAGCCAGCATGGTGACAGAGTCTCGTTAAGTAGTCATTGACTTCTCATCTACCCATGACCTCACCATCACGTCCGTCACCTCCAAGCTTCCACTCGCTTATGCCCGTGAGCAGATTCTCGCTTTCCTCTTCGTGATATTCTCCTCACGCATGCATGGTCAAAGACCCTTCCGTAGCTGCTGCGCCTCGCACTCTCTTGCGTAGCGACGCGAGTATCACACTCTCATGCATATTAACAGTTGCAATTATATCATACGCATTGCTTTATAGTGTGGACAGCGATGAATGTGGGAGGCGAGGCCTCAACAACTGTGTGAGTAAGTTAACTGCACAGGAAAAAAAGACATTTGGCAGGAGGGAGCAAATGTTGTAGGAATCGCTCCTGAACGCTTGCCTTGTGAAAAATGTTTATTCAATAACTTCAATTTCAGATCTGGGTATGTTGTAAAAAAGAGAGTGTAAATGTAAAGAAAGACATAAAGACTTAAGTGAGGTAGACGAAGACGCCGCCCCCTTTGGAGAGAGGTTCAGTGAGCTTGACAGGGTTCGAATCTCTGGGCGGTAAGAGGCCTCCGGGCCAAATCCTGAGACTTGACGCGAAGACTTGTCATCGCGGGTGTGCGGTTTCGTATAAAGTCGCACTGGATGTCTCGACTTGTAATGACAAGAAGTTAGGTGGACTTGATGCGAAATCGTTGGAGGTATTGCTTCCAATGGCAAAGAGAAGTCGGGCTAAACATTTTAGCAGAAGTTACTATGATCCATTCATGAATACGTGCGAGGGGCCCCAAAAGAGACCACACCGTAAGTGGTGATGCATGTTCATCAACTAAGGTCGATGTGTGGTCTCGACTTCAAATACATGTTCTATGTTATCGGACGATAAACTTGATTATTGACACGAACTGAACCCAAGAGGTGGGGGGAGGAGCTAATCATGGTAACGCACAAGTCGTCGGCAAGACATTTGGCTTCGAACTGGATAATTACAAGTCTGGAGAAGAGCTGGAACATTAGTGGTGGTTACTGTAAAGCCACCTAAGTCGTCCGCTGAAGTTAAACTTGTTAGTTAACCAAAGTGTACATCTTGAAATCAAGCGCCAATTGCTAATAACTCTGTAAGCGAGTTAGACGTATCGCTTAGCAATATAGTATCGCGTAGTGACCTTGGAATCAGATTTGAAATACCGGAGCTTGTGACTTCGGATGAACATCTCGGGATCACGACTCAAAGCGTGGGTGAATCAATCGAAACTTGTAGACGCAAGGATTGATACTAAAGCTTTGGTTACACAGGTACTCCTTAATCAGAAGCCCGACGCCTGCAGCCAGAGTTATTTATAATTGGTGTAGACGCCTATTGCCACCCCTCCCGGTTCAAAATGAAGCCGCATTGACGTGGCGGACCGAATTTATACCATGGGCTCCGTATAAAAAAACGCGGCCGACATAATAAAGCCTCGCACAAATTCAATTGCTTTCGCCCCGAGTTAAAACGGTATAATAGGACTCCATGACCCGATAAAAAATTGAAACAGCGGTCAAAGTCGGCGATCCAAGGTATAGTCTAATGTCTAGCAAGAGAGAGAGAATATTCGAAGTCTGCTGCAAGTTCCCAGGCGCAAATCCCGACAAGAACAGCAACTTGTCACGCCAATTCTTATGTTCTATTATTGACCTCAATTTGCATCAGTGAAGAGCCACATAGGCAAAAGAGTGATGTCGAATAAAGACTGCGTTTTTAGAAGTCCCGGATTTGTATAGGCCCTTGTTACGATGCAGTCAAAGGGGGAAAAGACGCAATTACAAACAATGTTGAGAACAATTCATAATGCACGGTGTCTATAAGGATTGATTGTAGCCGGAAGGATTTGTAAAGAAGACGGAAACAGTACTTGCGACCAAGTAATTTCTCCATTCAAACATCCCCTATATGAAAGTAGGTAAAAATCTCATTGAAAAGAGACCACAAAGCAAAGCCAGAATAAACGTATGTCATATTCAATAGAATTGCACGAATGAATGCAGTTCGAAGAAGTTGCAACTTCGGCCCGCCATCGAAACTTGTACCGGAAGCCTAAGTGCATTGTGTTGAAGCCGGTATTTAACATCTGCGGCAATAGGAAGAACGTGGAGATTTAAACCATATGTAATATTTCTTATGTCTTCCGTTGGCGTAAAGTCGGCGATATCGAGTTGGCAGAGAGGTAAGTCGGGTATCTTCAGATCTGGACGTAATCTTAAAAAAAGTCACACGAAGTCTTTGTTCGTCATATCAGTGACAAACGCATTACCACAACGCCACTTATGGCGAGCTGATTATATCATAGGCGGGAACTTTATGCCATACAAAGACGAATTGAAAGTGTTGAGCAAAAAAGTCGCGGAATGACTTGACTAATAAAGACTGTATTCGATGCCGAATGCGTAAATTCATTGACGTCCAAAGAGTGTCCAAATAGTTGGGCGAAGCATACGAAGAAGGAAGATCCACAAAGTCTTGTTTACGACAAAGACCGTGAGCCATTAAATAGGCATTATTTGTGAAAAGCTTGACCAACGGGCGCTTAGTTGAGCCAAACATAAGATTGAAAGTATTCCAGAATGGCGCTGCTTGCAAAAAATCCTTCCAATCGGTAGTCACACATGTCAGATGGAGATCGGTCCATGAGCGTAGCATAGAATATCAAAAGTTAGGAAGACAATACCATTTGCCTTTGACAACCGCGTAGAGTATGTCAAAGCCAGTGTCTTAAGAGCCAAGAGCCAGCCTACAGAGACAAAGTGCGGGAGTCATCCAAAGTGGAGCGGCACAATGGCTGCCTGTCGCGAAAATTGCGTCCCTTAACGACCTGAGATGGAAGGCTTGAATAAATATCTCTACCGGAGCAAGTCCAAGTCCACCTTGACCGATATTCGTGTATATCCAGTTGTTAGAAAACTTTCCAGGACGAGCCGAGTCACTGTCTTTATTCGCGCCGCCTATGAAGCTGCGTATAATAACATCCACGCTTTTCACCTTGAAGCAGTAAAGCAAGTCACGCTAGCAGTATACAAGAGAAGTGGCAAGAAAATACTTTGGAGAAGCACGGCTTTTCCACGAAGTGAGCGTACCCTGTACTCCCATATGACACAACGCGCGCAAAGCTTAAGCTAAATGTGACAAAATCGTACGTCCTCCGCAATGATGGCGCCTTGTAAAATATGAAGTAGTTTCACTGCATCCGTCACGCCAAGAAGTTTAAATGGAAAACTAGCACGCAGGCTAGCCAATTTTGAGCAAGTTTCTCGATGCTAAAAAGGCATCACGAAAGTCTTTCTCACGCTAAAACGAAGTCCAGCCGCATTGGAGTAGTTATTTAACAATTGAAGAAGCCCATCAGCATAATCGATTATCTTCAATAGTCCGGTTCAATCGTCAGCAAACGCCAGAAGAAAGTGAGGTTCAAAAGAGCCGTCGACAGAGATACCGCGATATGAAAATTGAGCTTGCAGAAAGTTCATCATTGGCTCAAAATGGAAAACGGACAAACCAGGTGATAGTGGATAACCTTGGCGAACGCCGGCAACCATCACGAAAGGATCACCCGAAGACCCATTCAACATGATATTGCTTGAAGTTTAATAGTAAATATATCATGACCCAAGCTCGGAAAGTAGATTTAAAATTAAAGTAATGAAAAAACTAAATCCAGGGTAGGCCACAAAACACTGTCATAAGCCTTGACAAATTCCAACATCACCGCGCAAGCATTGATGTGACGAGTCTTGAAAAAGTCTTGAAGGTCTTGAAAACAAATGAGTGAGTGACGAATCGAACGACCTTGAATAAACCCGCTCTGATCACCGTGAATGAGATCCGGCAGCACAAATTTGAAACCACACGCCAGAATATTAGGACCGAGCCCAACGCCCTGAGTGAGCAGGGTAAGTGGCCGGTAATTAGCAGGCATTGTGAGATCGCCGGACTTGTCAAGTAATGATAGACGTGCACGTCGTTGGAATTTGGTCATCTGGCCTTGGTCCAGCTCATTATCATGAACGACCTCGAAGATGCGCGCCCAAGAG